AATATTGGAGGCCCCATGGAGCCACTGCCTGCCTGAGCCTAACGCCCTAATTATCATGGCTCCTGGCTCCAAACATGAACATCCTTCAAAAATTTCTCCCTGACCCAGGTCCCTTTCCCCTAATCTTCAGCCCCTGAAGCTACAGCTGTGGGTGGGGCATGGAGAAGGGCTCTAAGGAGCTGACCAGCAAGTGGAATCAGGCAGCACCAACAGGGCAGCAGTATTCAGGGGAGGGGCCCCCAGAACCATCATGGCACTAGCAGTGGTGGGTCAGATTGCAACTTTAGGAGTTGATGCAGGAGGGGTTTGCCCCTCCCCTCTTCATCTCATCATCCCTCCATCACCCTGTCCCTCCAGGAAGGCAAATTCCTAACACATACTCCCTGTCCACCCTTTTCATGGAGATCCAGGCCCCCTGCTGAACACTGCCCACAGCTCTGTGTTTCTGTCCCCAGCAGTCACTGGGGAACCAGCCTGCAGCCCCAACTTACTTCCAAGCAGAAATGGGAGTGCGGACAATGAGAACTCATATTCATTAAGCTGTCCTGTGGGCCGAGAGAGCCACACAATGATCTCCCTTGATTCCCCACTACAATCTCGGGAAGGAGGTGCTGGGTTCACCATATACAGATGAAGAGATTCAGGCTCGAAAAGGTTAAGCCACTTGCCCAAGGACCTCCAGAAGGAAGCAACAGTGTTGTAAGTGGCCACTACCTAGCAGGAGGCCCTCCACAGCCACACATCTCAGCACTTAACCCCCATGTCCCAGCCACTCCTCCCCTCCAGCCTTCACTCCAGTGAATTGGGGAGTTAGAACCTGCATCTCAGAGGGGCTGCACTTGGCCCTTCGATGCTACCCTCAGATGTCCCCTCCTGACACGCATTCACAGAATCTGGGCTTTGGCCAGGCTAGGATAGGCTGAGGCAAGTCAGGGAATGATCCCTGTCTTTAGATTGAAGGCATAGTTTCCAAGCTCTTTTAGTGAGCACTCACTCTTCCTGCTGTGGGGGAATCACCTCCCCTAATCCCCAGTGCCAGTGTCCAACCAGAGAAGGGGTGAAGGGAGATGGGCAAGGAGAGAACAATTTCTTGGGGAGAAGGGGGAAAAGAAGGTGCCGGGCCTCCCCCAGCTGCATCCCATCTGCCCTGGGCAGGCGGCCAGGCAAGGTAAGTGAAACCCACTGCCCTCCATTAGGAGCTAGCTCAGTGGCTTTGAAGCATGATGCAGTGATTACCTCTGAGCTGACTTCTTCTGGGTTGCAAGGGGGACCTGACCAATGAGGAAGCAGGGTAGGGTCTGGGAACTGGTTTGGGGTCAGCCCAGTTGGATTCTGGGGCTGTGTTAATAGTGTGTGAGAGGAATTGGTCAATTTTGGAGTCCAGTTAGATTAACTGGAGCATCAAAGCGGGCCAGGTCCACAGTGCCCTCCCCCACCGTCTGTCCAGCCTCAGAGGCTGGTGCTCCCTTCCTGCCTCCACCCTGTCCTGCCAGGGGCTCCTTCTGACCCACACTAGTCAGCTTCTCTCACCTCTGAGCCCTTCCATGGGTCATACCTCTGTGAGAGCTGTCTTCTCTCTTCCTTCACTATAACTGTAGAGTTGGTCAGTCTCCCCTCTTCCCATCTGCAGTCTTTTCCTTCAAAGGCCACCCTTTGTCCCACACGTCCCGTTCTACATCCATACTTGTTGTCAAGGAATCGCACCTGATCAATTTGCTCAAACATTGATAGGGACTTAATCTCCCCAGACTTTGTGTGTTGGAGAAGAGGTGCCCAGAGAGGGCAACACTATACCCAAGTCCTTGAATGGAGAGAGTTCCAGGCCTTGTGGTAAGGGCACAGGGGAGAGAGTCAGGACAGCCGTCTTTCTTACTGACTCTGGGGGCCACCCCCCTCTCCAGCCTCTGCCTTCATTTCTGTGGCACGTGTTCCCCTCAAGTAGCCTTCCTCTAGGAAATTCCTCCTGACCCTCCACTTGGATCCTTCCCAGCCCTGAAAGTCTGCAGAGCTGCCCTGCAGTTCTGAAGGACTCAGTCATCTCTCACTTTTTATCCTGCATCGAAGGACAGTCAAGACATTTTAACAAAAGCCTGAGTAGGGCTACACCATGTTGGAGCAGCCTGAAGATGAGAGGATGAGTCATCAGAAGCCCCTACAGTTCATTTGTCCTTGTGCCCTTGGGTCAGTCCCTTCCCCTGCTCTGAGCCTTGGTTTCCTTACCTGTGAAATAGGCATAAGATGCCAGTCTCATAAGTTACTGTGATGAATCACAGAGGTCTGGAGTGGTGTCACGGGAGCTGGGCAGATGTCAATTATTCTTATTCTATTTGCTACCGCTGC